GTCCCAAACACAATATAGTCTGGGATTTATTAATTTCATAGAAAAATGAAGCAAAATAGTGGTGATAAAAACCTTGAAAATTTTCAATTTTTTGAACTTTGTTTTTGGTTTTAGAACTTTGACATAATATTCATTATATCATTCATAACGGTTCAGATTCACAAAAACAATAACAACAATATCCTACCAACGTGGAAAAATAAATACACACAGAGTAATTATAATGAGGCAGATATCGACAGAAATATTTCCCGAATTTATGTTAGTATTCTGATAAGGAACAGGCCAGTTAGAAAGAGCGTTGAAGTCAGCTTATTAGTGAGAGGCTAATTGACTACACTTGAGGGCCAGCTTGTGATTTACCAATTCTTAAACGGAACCCTTTAGAACAAACGCAGAGGCAATTTTAAAAAACCAAACAAAACGAAACGAAACAAACCAAACTTATCCACTTAAGATCAGCACAGGACGGGGGCATTTTTACAAATATCAACAGCGTTTATTGAGGCTTTCTGTCTCTCATTGCAGAATTCTGTGGAATAGATTCCCGAGGGTGATAAATATAGTCACAGATATGGCAGGAGCTACTCCTTATATCTGTCAGTATGAATAAGTGTAGGATATCGCGGGGTCGTGAATTCAGAAATCGGCTACAATAAAAAGATAAAAGCTTTCAACCACAAAGTTCCATTAATTCATATTAAGGCTGGTTTGATTAGAAAGTGAATGACAAACACGTGTGTATTTCAATAAGCTATTCACCATCTCATATGTAACTTGCACCCATGGAATAATTTGTAACTAATCGCTGTATGAACAGAGTAAACACCTTCTATTACACTTATGTATAGTTACTCTGATGATAACAGAGATGCGTGCGCTCTGATTGGTCGAGGATTGCGTCACATCTCGCCAGAATTTTAAAATGGCTGACTCGCGTTTTGTCAGTGTTACCGAGGAAATGATGAAAACGGTAGAGAAGAATTCAATCCCGAAGAGTACGAGGATGTTGGCTCCTTATCCTTATACGCGTACTCAAAACAATTAAAACAGAATGGTATCAACATCAAAATGAATATTTACAACATAATTCGAAGGCACCTCAGCAATTATAATAAAAAAATTAATCGCCTCAGTAAATATTGTTCAACAATTCCTCGACTTCGTCTCGGGGATTACTCACCAAAATTCACTCCGCCTTCAGCGAATAATTGTTGAACAATTCAGTCAAATGTAATATATTGGCATTCTATTGATCTCCAGGAATCCTCTTGAATCATATGAAGAAGCCATCAAAGTTCCTTTACAGGAAAATTCCCTAACTTTAACATCTTTTCTGAACAGACTGGGATTCAGAAACACAACTGACAGTAACTATTCTATATTTCGACCGTGTCCTTTGGGAACATTTTCACATTTCACCATGTTTACCCCTGGACCAAATCCGGAAATTTGAAGAGATTGTCGGCCAGGTATACTCTCCCTGTTAACATGTAATTTACAAAGACTTCGTAAATCTGCTGCTAACGTCGGCAAACATAAAGTCTTAATGCAGTTATCAAAATTTTACTTTAACTCAAGTGTTACGGATTTGCCTTGTTTCTAAAATTGGAGGAATCTGCTGCATTCTTAAAAATAAATTGTAAGCTGCTCAACGCAGTCTGGCCAAAGCCCCTTGCAAATAAGTGTAAAGTGTATTACAGCACTCATTTGGAGAATGTGCTAAATGACTACATAGATGTTATCCTTATTATCATTATTAGTATCATCTTAATTATTATTGAAGGCTATCAGCTCACTCTTTAATAATAAAATTGTCAAATATATATGACGTAAGTCGATCCATCCCCGCTTTCAACCCCTTTAACTACTCAACTTTCCATTCGCTAAAGATTTCCACTGATTCATTGCCGCATATTCGTCCTTTACACTTTCTTCAATACATTCCTGATGTTCCTTAAGGTCACAAGACTCGGATAGTGAGGGAATTATTATCTTATAGGCACTTCTCCTCCTTTAGATGGACACAGCCCTTTGAGAATCAGCTACCTACCGAATGAATCCCAGAGAACCTCATCAGAAAAGTGGAATGAAGAATAAAAGAATAGTATTTAGGAATGCCGAAGTTTCTGGATTAACCGCTCAATTTCCAAACTGGAGCTTGATACGAATAATTTCTGTAGAATAATTTTCAGGTGTTTTCGAATTCTGGTGTAAATTTGTTTTGTTGTTAGAATCATTCTGTTAGAATTGTTTTGGTTACTCGTATTGAAAAAGGCAACCAGTTTCCACCAGAATTTAACAGTTTTATTTAATTCAATCACCAAAAACTTCACATCTTTCTTTTAAAAAGTTTTACGCCAAACTTTTGTACCCTCCAGATTTGAATTTGTGTCTTCTATCACGTTTATTGACAAAACGCGGGCTAGCCAATTTGAAATTTAACATCCCTGCTCCTATCAACTCGCGCCAGGTGATTATAGCGAGATCTGACACAATCAATCGACCAACCAGAGTGCCGCATTTCCAGAATCATCGGAGCAAATTATACGTAATGGTAATATGACTGGAATGGACGACCGCGCAGTGGGAGTTCGATTTGTTATGACGAGTATAATAACAGACCAAATAGGACGACAGAAAATCCTATCACCAATTAATCATAAAAAAATTACAATTTCCAAGAAAAGATTACTAGCCAAGTTATGAAAGAAAGGGAAAATTTCCATTAAAATACTAACAGAGGAGGCGTGAATTTTACTGTTTCTATGGTAATCGAAACCAAGATTGCGATTGGTTAATTTAAACTACAAATTAGAAAGTGATTGAGTTATTGAACTGTTTGATAACAAACTGTCCGATGACAACTTGGCAAGTGAATTAGTGGAGAATGTGAGTTTTTTTTATAAAAGTTAGCATTTGTAATCCGATGAATTTTTAAAGCTAGGTTGTTGTTGTTTTTTCTTAGCAATTAAGGCTCTCAGAAAGGAATTATGCAACTCCTGCATAGACACCAGTTATTTGAATTGCACCGGAATATTTGAATTAGAAGAAATAAAAGAAAAAGACAAGTTCTCACTTGCGCATAGATATCACCTATTTGTCTCGAGTATCTATAAAAAAAACATTTTCACTTGGTGTTCAGTAGATTAAGCTTCCGGAGAAAATCTTTATGATAACATAGCGCGCGTGCTTGCCCTATATAAGTTCTATTGAGCCGGTATGAACACGCACGCCCATGCGTAAATAGGATGACGTGAGCAATTTTTTTTTCACTGTCGCTTTGCGATAAAAGAATTTGCTCATGCTTTTAGCTGTGCGTATATCGAGTTATGAACGCACTTGGGAAGTTTGGAGAGCACTCAAAAAGCTAGAGTTGCTCTCTGCTGCGCCTCGAGCTACTCTTACGTATTTTTCTTGCTCTCCAAACTTCCCACGTACACCCATAACTCGATATACGCACGTTAAGCATGAACAAATTCTTAAACAACCTTTTAGAGCTCAGCGTAAGTGTACTGGATAGAAACAATAAGCTTACCCTGGGTTCTCTTCGTAGGGCAGTCAAGTCATCCTCCCCACAGAAAAAAATTTGAACAGCGAAGATAGCTGCTTAAATAACTAAAAAAAAACCTTATGTTACAGGGTAATTCCAACTGCATAATGAACGATTCGAACAAAGGGAGCGAAAAACCTATAGACAGTACTACTAGAGCTAAATTTTTAGAGGAACATCCACCATTGAATTCAAGATTTAAACCCAACCACAGCATATTCAGGTTCATTCCTCGTTACTGGACCGGACCCGTCGATGAAAACAAAGTGAAGGCATAATATTCTCTTCGTTTCAAAACAATCGTCTGATCAACTTAGCGAATGCAAAATGATGCCAAATATTTATTCGGACCCCTCAACGATCCCCCTACTCGTTTTCTTTCTTTCCTAAGTATTATTCATGAAATTAATGGAAGAAACATTCAATAATTTCTTTTCTATACCAATGCCCCCATTAGGAGAATTTAAAAGAGTGAAACGCAGACAAAAAATATGCCAGAGAACGTTTTTCTTTTTCATCATTTTTTTTTTTTTACATGATAGCTTCGCACTGAGTTTCCAGTGTAATCTACAGTACAGAAACAGCTTTACATACAGTTGAACTTCAATCAACTAAACATCAAATAAGTAAATCTGAAATGAACAAGAACAATCTCCCATAACATAATCTGAGTGAAAATGAAAAAAGCTGGTTACAGAGCGCAATCACAAAACATGAAAAAAAATCTGCATTTCGAATGCCATACAAATATATGTCAGAAAGACTTAAGCCCGAAACACTGATTACTTTTATATCATGTAAGAGTTTCATGATACATGCTTTGTTATTCTGTTAAGATATAATCTAACTGACAGCAAGAACACTATACTTCTACAAACCCAAATACTTTTATTTATTTAACGAATTGTAATATTCTTACTCAGGAGCGACTCCTATAGACGACACAGTAATTATCCTTGATTAACTAACTTAAGCCGACGACAAGCTTTAATTTGACTCGCCACTGACGCAAACTCGCATTTAAACTCCTTGAAATAAACAATCCTCCACAGTAGCTCTCGCTCTGTCGGTGTAACTTTCCAAACAGTCGGTCGATCCCGACAACGACAACAACAACAACAAAATCACGACAACAAAACCTACTACTACGCAATTGAGTCTACATATACATTAACAAAGTAATCTACGACATAGCGGAAGCTTACAGCATAACTGTTTGGTAGTATTACATCAAAAATACGTGACTAAATAGAGTGTTCTAGAATGCTTCGTGGCATGACAGTCTGAAAGTACGTGTATGCATATGCATGTCAGCATGACTAGGTATTCTAGATATAACTATCTCTAACAATTCTAAAGAAATGAGATGGTCAACTCAACTTCTCCCCGTATCTAATCTATACCTTTTGTTATCATTGGTGTGCTCAATGACTCGTGTTTGTCTGTTCTACAGCAATGTGATGGTCACGTGACCACGACCCGCGGAATTGTAACAACATTCATTGCGCTGATTGTTTCCAACATTGAAGGATCCACCACCACCCCCACAGGAATCATTCTTGTTGCTCCCACTGCCTCCACCAGAGTACCCTCCTCCTCCTCCCCCTGCCCCACCCTTTAAATTTCCACCAGAAGCCCCACCTCCTCCACCAAATCCACCGTCATTAACGTTGAATCTGCCTCTCCCACCCACCCCTCCCTGAAGAAATCCCATACCACCTTCTCCACCTTTTCCACTGCTTCCGCCAAAGTTCTTTCCACTTCTTCCGCTGGAGTAAAACCCACCACCACCACCACCTGAAATGAGATATGTTCATATTTATCATAGCATATATAAGAAAAAAAGACGACTAAGAAGTTACACGATAAGATATTTAGAAGTTTCATGAAGAAAGTGCCTCAGTGGGAAATATTTCTCCTCTATCGCAAAAAGCCGACCAAAATCTTTATTAAAAAAGATTATTAGACCAGCATCTTTTATTAAGACTTTCATCTCCATACTCATTCATTTCTTTGCTAAAAAAAATTTTTCAGCGACCTTGTTCCTTAAATGGTCCTCCCTACTTACGTGTTCTTACCCGAATATCCACTCGGGGGTGTCTTTGCACCATTTCCATCTCTACCTCCTTTCTTTGACTTGTGCCCAGGATTCCCAGCTGTGTTTCTGTTGGCGTCACATCCTGCGTATCTAGAATGAACCGTATGCACGCCCCCTCCACCTCCAGCAACTATCAAAGGTGTATCAACTCCTCTTACAACAAATGTACCTCCACCACCTCCAGATGAATGTTTCCGCTTGTTTATGCCTCCCGCTTGACCAACAAGTATCTGAATGACTTCACCCATGTTCAAGCGGAATGTTCCAATCATTCTTGCTCCCCTTCCCCGGTACTGAGAGCTGTTTGGGTGGGAATCGTACCCTCCTGCTGCTCCTACTGCTTCTATTCTGTAGTCACCAGTGTACGGCACAGCCCATTGTTGAATACCACTAGACAGTGTAACTTGTCCGTCATGATCCTGACCTAAGTACTGACTGCCCAGCGTTGTTGGACCATATCTTCCAGTGGCATTGAGATTTGTAAAAACAGCTTTGAATGCTGAGGACATTTTGTACGACAATTATTTTAAAATTCTTTTTTTCAAACATAGGCATAACCAGTTAATTCCATATGTTTTCCTTATGTTTGTTTGTTTACAAGCAACTGGCGCAACGCAGAAACATGGAACCACAGATCTCTATTTGTAAGTATTTTGGCAAAGAAAACCGACTAAAACTCTTGTGACTGAGACTGACCCACGAAAACACCATTGTTTATTCTGAGACCTCTTTTTTTCCTGAAGAGAAACAGGCTATCTCGCAATGGGGGAGAGATTTCGGTTGAGTCTCAATACACAAACAAATGAATTGTTTTTTTTCATACCAATCTCTGCAAACGGGCGTTTGTACTATATTTTTTAAAAGGAAGATACGTGTGCAGGAAGATACTTTCTACTAGTGTTTTTACGTGAACACACATGATGATAAAGTACTCGTCTATGATCACTATAGCTCACAGTTTTGAACTCACTTTTACCTGAGTCTATCTATCTGGCTGAAGATTGTTACCGTACGGCGTTTGTCAGAAAAAGAAGGAAGTATATCTGTCATACTTACTGCAATTGAATCCCGTTTTGCATTTGCAAGTGTAAGACCCGTCAATGTTATTGCAACTTGCATTATAGTGGCATCGATGGGCATTACTCGTACACTCGTCTACATCTACAAAGTTTGAAAATAAAAATAAGAAAAAAACTTAAAAATTGGACGAGTAAACTTTCCTCTCTCTCTCGTGTACAGCCTAGGGTCAATGATCCACCACACTTGCGATTCATTATCTTTTTTTAGAAAAGTTATGTTCTTTTCCAAAATGAGCAGCCGATCTCCGTGTGAACATTTTTTTTCCCAACCCTTACCTGTGCAATTTCGGCCGTCCCCCTAATAACCTTCTTTACAGCTGCAATTATAAGATCCTTCGATATTATTACAAAAAGCTTTGGCAGGGCAGTCATGAGTATTTTCTGTACACTCATTTTTGTCGAAACGAAAAAAGTAAATTTATACGAATGAGAGCCTGTCCTGCTGCATGAAAAATCATCAGAAGAGAAAAAAAAATATCAGTGAAACCTTTTTCACAGTTTTCTCCAGTGTAACTCTCTGGACATAGGCAGATATATCTCTTGTCTGTAAATCCATTGAGGCAGGTCGCATTATGAAGACAGGGGCTACTGCGACATGGATTCTAAAATAAGACATGACTTTTATAAACATTTCATAAATTAGGAAGATAAATATTACTTGACGATTGATATCCAAGCGGATTCTAGATGATTGCATTCGAAAAACGTTACCTCGGTAGTCCAATGAATAAAACCTTTTCGTGTTTCATTATCTTCACGATGTTGGATGTGGTCAGAATCACTCAGTTGGCAGAGCCTGAAGCCTGTCTCGTTTGGTGGGCCGATGTTCACAGACACACAGATGCTTTCCATCAGGCACTCATATCTGCAGTCACCATTGAGTTCCGTGCCCATTGGCAGATACATTTCTTTAAAAACGTAACGTTGAGGAGCATATCCTTCCTCTGGTTTCTTAAATCGAAGGCTACGGCAACCAAAATCTGCAGATAATTGGATCTTTAAGGAGAAGTGTTATCGGTATTTTAATGACCTTGGGAGGGGTTTGCTAACTTGTGACTCTTGGAATAATCCATTTTACTCCCAAACACACCCATACGTTGCAAAAAGGTTAACATCAGTAAGCAGATGATTGTAGATGTACCAAAGAGACTTCATACTAGTAAAAAAAAAAAACTGACCACGACTTAGTTTATTTTCAAGAGATACATGAACATGTCTTCACCAACAACTGAAAACAAACTTTAAACATGAAAATGTTAATTATCGCTGGGATTCCCTTGACAATCTCTTGCACCAAAATAGTTAGAGACATCGAAGTGGTCCCCATCAAACCTGTTAACAGCTGAAAGATAACTTAATTAATTTGGTTAAAAGATCTGAGGTTATCTACTCTTTGATTGTCAAAAGCTGCTTTTATCATTTATTTTCACCGTTCGCTTGTCCTTCAATTGAATGTAATATCTAATGTTAATTTTGCACTACATGAGGGCTTTTCTCCTATGTCCAGTCCGGCAAAGAGTTCGTGCTCTGTAAGTTACTATGTACCTGTTTGAAAACCTAGCCTGACGTTTACGCGTTATGCATCAAATGTTAAAACAATATCTTCAGCTGACCTAAAAAACCATATTTTTTGTCCTTTTGTTTCGTTTGTTTTACGTTTGTTTGTTTCTTTTGTTATTTTTTGTTTTTTGTTTTGTTTTCATTCATGATATCACCTGTCTTCACCCCCCTGATCAAACAAACACTTGAAAACGTCTACATGTGTAAAGTAAGTTTGTTTTCTCTTTCGTGCAAAGTATAGCTTTTAACACCAACGTGACTGCAATTTATCTACCCGAATAGCAGGCTAAGATGAAACACTGAGCTCCGACAAGTAATAACTGAGCTCCATGCAGCTGTTCGCCTTGCACGAAAGACCAAGAACTCTCCTTTATGCAGATTTGACTGCCCTTCAAAATAAATTTTATAAGTAAAGTAAGTTTTTCTTCTCTTTCCTGCAAAGTAAAGCTTTTAACACCAATATGATTGCAATTTATCTGCCAGAATAGCAGGCTAAGATGATACACTGAGCTCCGACAAGTAATAACTGAGCTCCATGCAGCTGTTTGCCTTGCACGAAAGACCAAGAACTCCCCTTTATGCAGATTTTTCTGCCCTTCAAAGTAAATCTCATACAAACCTCGCACATTAGGGTATTTTTCGAATGGTGGGAAAGCTTTATCTTAAGCATGTAGATTAAGTCTTCTTTCGCTTTGCTATTGCTGCGTAACAAATTTGACTTGAATTTTGACTTGAGTATTCTTTAATATAATTCCACCTTTGGTGGCGAAGTTATGACGTCAATTTGAAGTTCTGAGAAGCTCATTTGGAATCGTGATAAGGTAAGCTTACAGAGAGGGTATTTGCAATTTTTTTACAAGCTCAGGAAAAATCCAAAATTAGAGTTGATCTTAAATGAAAGAGGAACATTAGCAGCCTTAACTCCGAAAACGTCCACGTTTCGAATTCAGTCTCACCAAAGCTTTATATGTGGAGTATCATCTATTTTTTGAAAGTTCAAGTTGGTAATTATGCTCGATATCAAACATCAAATCAGAGGTCGAATATACATTGTACGCGGAGTAAAAGATTTACCCTGATAAAGTGGAGGAAGACGTGTTTGGTCTTTACAGTAATATATCGACTGCCTTATTTCGCATAAAGTGAGTGCATTTATGAACAAAAGTCATTTGAGTAAGGAAATACGACAGCATAGATCGAAAGACTTACCCTGTTTTCCGTCAGCAGGGAATTGCAGCCAGCCTTCCCACAAAACAAATATGAGTAGTGAAGAATAAGCCGCTAAAAATAGCATCTCCAGTCTAAAAAAAAAACGTTACTGACAAAGAGGTTTTCGAGTCTATCGTTCACAGTCAAGCAGCCACACTCTTACTGTGATGATTACGTAATGTCTTTGATGGATTCAGTGCAAGCAGATTGCATAACTGATCGACAATTGTCCATTGTCTTTACCTTTAAGGTTGACTTAGAGGTCATTTCAGTGTTTGTTCTTTTTCTTACTTCACCGGAAATTGAAATAGATTCGCAACTTTTTCTTGTCATTTTCAACAATTAAATTTTTAGTCGCATTTGCTTAGCCCCTTTTGACAACCTAGACACTCAGCAATCCATCATAGTTAAAAAGAAAAACCCTCTCTATAAAGTGAACACAAATAATTGAATTCAATAGTTGTCAGTGACACAAGAGTGGCAACAATTACGAGCACTTTTATTTTTTTAATTAAAAAACTACTTCATTTGAATGCGAGCAGAAAAAAAAAAACATTTATCTTGAAATCATTTTCTCTATAGAGGTAATTCCTATTTCTAATTCTAAATTCGACTTTTTAACTTCTTAACTACGACATAGATTCTAGAATTACAAGCTATACAACCTGCATGAAGCATAGGCTAATCATGGCGGGTATTACTGGGTCACAAATACATACTGAGTTACATTAAGCTTAAAAAATATACAATTATCATTCAGGTACAAGTTTCAAGTAAAATTAACTAATTCATGACCAGGCACAACAAGCAGAGCAAATGATAACAAGAATTAGCGTTTAAAAGAAATTTGGGCATTCAGAGAGGAGGCTATCATAACTAATGTTGAAAGCGAAGGTATGAAAACAGCTTTAAAATACACTAATTCAAAACTTGAGAATAGGCTTTAACATGATAATCTCACAAGACGTCAGGCTAAAAGCTATTCTTCTGTAGCTTCTTAAAACTAAACAAAAGTTTTACACCACAAAAGGCATTGTCTGTTTGACGGATTGTTTAATATGTAAGTATCCACGAAAAACATGATAACTAATGGTCAGCAGTAACGAATAATAATCATCAGAATAATGATGATTATGATAATGTTAAAAAGTGGAAGAAAAGCTAGTGTACATCAATTATTCAAAGTTTTCAGTCTTTCCATAACAATCTCCTTCCTCACTAGATAAATGGTTGTACGACGGGGGTTTTTTTGCCAAATATAAACTTTTTCATTTCTTTCTGTCTAAAGCAGTAAATCAAAGGATTAACAAACGAATTTAACAGGCCAAATCTTTGCCACACTTGGTCGCTGATGGGACATTTAACATAAAGGCCTGCATTCATAACGATCAGACAGAAACCAAGTGGGAGAAGGCAGACAACAACAGCACCAACTACAAACATAGTAGTTTTAAGGGCCCTGTTCTCTGTGGAAGATCTTTCTACTTCTTCTGCAGGCAGTTGCTCTGCTTTTATCTTCTTTTGGCGGCGGCGGGTTTCGTGATACAAAATCAAATAAGCAGAGGCAACGAAAACGATACATGAATTAGTGGCAAGGCCTGTCATGTGAAGCAACACATAATACATTTTTAATGCGCTAAAAACCCCACCAAGAAAAGAAATAATCCAAAATACTGACACTGTTATCTTAATGGTGTTGTGGGTCATAATGCTCGAGTAGTGCATCGTAAACTTGATCGCTACGAGCCTCTCGAAAGTAACCAACATCAGATGAAGATATGAAGCCAGTACCAAGGCAGCCATAACATCGTAATTGAAGCTCGCGACTGCCTGACTGCTGCTGATGCCAAATATTAGGGTTATCCTCCACAAGATGTAGGATGGTTGGCCGAGGAGCCCACTTAGTGCGTCAGTAACCGCTAAGCAGGCCAACAAAATGTTGCTGTTTGTTCGGAGTCGTGGTCTTGTTTTCACGGCCTGTATCACCAGCACGTTGAGAAGAACTGTAAAGGGGCAAGTGATGGTGTTGATGATAATAGAGATGACAGTACTAACCTCCACAGGAACACTTGCAATGTCGCCTTCCCCACTGGTCGAGTTTGAAACGTTTTCAGAAATAGCCCGCGAGAAATTTACCATGTCCAGTTTGAAGCCTAAAGTAAGTCAATCAAGATCAACTAATTGATATATATTACTGTTTAGGCTTTGATCTACCTCTAAAAGTAACCTGCAAATTTTGCTAACGGATTTTTGATCTTGCACGAAGACGGTTGGTGAAAAGGGCGAAGGAAAGCTGATGTCTCAAGTAATTTAAGCATCTCCAAACAATGATCCCGACTCCACATTCACAAAACAACACTACAAAAGAAAGCTTCCTTTGAATCGCTTACCGCAGACTAATAAATAGAATTTTCCCAAAGGATTTTTTTATCCTGCACAAAAAACCGGTTGGAGAAAAAATAACAGAGGAAAGCTGATGTCTTAAGTAATTGAGCATCTCCAAACAATGACCCCGGACTGCAAATTCACACAACAACACGACAAAATAAATGTAATTTTCCTATAGGATACTTAATCTTGCACGAAGAGGTGGGAAAAAAAAACAGAGGACAGCTGATGTATTGAGTGATTTAAGCATCTCCAAACAACGAACCCGGACTCCACATTCACACAGCAACACTACAAAAAAGCCTCCGTTGGATCGCTTACTGCCGACTAATAAATAGAATTATCCTAAAGGATTTTTAATCCTGCACAATGACGGTGAGCGAAAAAGGCGGAGGAAAACTAATGTCTTAAGTAAATCAAGTATCTCCAAACAATTACCCCGGACTCCGCATTTACAAAACAACACTACAAAAGAAAGCTTCCATAGAATCGCTTACCGAATCGCTTACAGAATCGCAGACTAACAAATTGATTTTTTCTGAAGGATTTTTAATCCTGCGCGATGACGGCGAGCGAAAAAGGCGGAGGATAGCTAATGTCTTAAGTAAGTTAAGCACCTCTAAACAATGACCTCGGATCCCCATTCACACAACAACACCATAAAAAAAGCCTCCGTTGAATCGCATACCGCAGACTAATAAATATAATTTTCCTAAAGGATTATCAATCCTGCACGAAGACGTTGGAAGAAATAAAAAGGAGGAAAGCTGATGTCTTAAGTAGTTTAAGCTCCTGCAAACGATGACCCCGGAATCTGCATTTACACAACAACACTACAAAAGAAAGCTTCCATAGAATCGTTTACCGCAGACTAATAAATAGAGTTTTCCTGAGGGATTTTTCATCCTGCGCGATAACGATGAGCGAAAAAGCGGAGGAAATCTAATGTCTTGAGTAATTGAGCATCTCCAAACAATGACCCCGAACTCCACATTCACACAACAACACTACACAAATAAAGCCTCCATGAAATCGCTTAGCGCAGACTAATAAATAGAATTTTCGTAAAGGATTTTTAATCCTGCACGAAGACGGTGGGAGAAAAAAAACAGAGGAAAGCTGATGTCTTAAGTAATTTAAGCATCTCCAAACAATGACCCCGGACTCCACATTCATGCAACAACAGTACAAGAGAAAGTTTCCAGATAATCGCTTACCGCAGGCTAATAAATAGAATTTTCCGAAAGGATTTTTAAAACTGCACGATGTCGGTGACCGAAAAAGGCGGAGGGCAGCTGATGTCATAAGTAAGTTAAGCATCTCCAAACAATGACCTCGGATTCCCCGTTCAAACAACAACACTACAAAAAAATGCTCTGTTGAATCGCTTACCGGAGACTAACAAATAGAATTTTCCCAAAGTATATTTAATCTTGCACGAAGACAGTGGGAGAAAAATCGGAGGGAAGCTGATGTCTTAAGTAGTTTAAGCTTCTTCAAAGAATGGCCTCGGACTCCACATTCACACAACAACAATACAAAAGCAAGATTCCCTGGAATCGCTTATCGCTGACTAATAAATAGCAATTTACACAAGCTTGGCCCAGAAATCAAACTCAATTTAAAAGTTATGATATCATCTTTGCATTAATCTTTTTTAAATATCACCAAATCAGTTTTTGCGGGTCCAAAATAGTTCAATCGTTTTTGGAAGAGTATTTTCAAAATATCGCCAAATTAATTTTAGCGAGTTCAAAATGATCTTGTTACTTGAAATCTATTCCTAAGTAGTCCCGACAAATTGAATAGCTCGCTCGCCTCTTCTCTTAATTATCAAGTTCTAATTTCAAGAAATCTTTGTGTTTTCCGCCGCTAAATTACTACTTAGGGTAAGATATATTAAGACTAATATCTATTGATAACTATTTTGAATCAGATGGCTTTCCCTTCCTCGAGCTCGGCATAACAATCAAAATTAATCCAATAATTGAATGCAATAAAGTTTGGATTCAAATTTACCACTAAATGTGTTTTTGCGGGTCCCAAGTGGCTTAACCCCTTAAAATCTTTTCGTCAGAGCTCGTCATAACTTGAAATAGCCTGTTCGTCTCTTCACATTTCGTGATCTAAATGAAAGAAAGTTTTGCGCCTCCTACCGCTCAATAAGTATTCCGCAGTTCTAAGGCATATTGCTTGTCGTTCAAAGGCTAAGATTTGCAATGAAAAGACAAGTTACTATAGTTGTTTTGAATCAGATGGATTCCCTCAAGCTCAGCTCAAGAAACAAAATTAGTCTAAAATTGATTGAAATAAGTTTTGGATTGATGTTTTTCACATTATCACTTAATGATTTTTAGTGGGCCAAAAGTGGTTCCGGTCCTTACAGGCTTGTGGTAGTGGTTGTGATAACTTGAAGTAGCTTGCTCGACTCTTCACATATCTTGCTTTAAATTCAAAAAGGTGAAGCGTCTTTCACCGCTAAATAAATATTCCGTGATTATAAGTTTGAAAATTGTCATTTCTCGACTAAGATTTCCATTCAAGGAAAAATATCCATTGATACAACCTGAATCAAAAGTTTTTCTTTTATATGCAAATCTGAGATCGATGACACGTTGCAAGCTGGACAACCATGAAATATTTATTTATCCGTGGAAAGCGCAAATTTTTCTTGAAGTTAGAACATGACTTATAAAAAGTGAGTGAGCTATTTAAAGTTATTGCGAATGTTAAAAAAGGCTTTTCCGAGGACTGAAAACATTAAAGGTCTGAAAAAACATATTGGGTGATAAAATGAAATTATTGATCAAAAATTTATTTCACTCAGTTCCGCATTAATTTTGATTCCTGAATAAGAATCAAAAGATAATTCTATTTTCTATTCAAATCTTAGCCTTCGAACGGCAAGTAATTCGCTTTAGAACCAAGAAATATTTATTTAGCATTGGAAGGCACAAAACATGAAATGTTACAACATGATGTGTGGAAGCACCAGCGAGCTGTTTCAAATTATCGCGACCTCTAAAAATGGCCGCGACTATTTTGGACCCTCAAATCACATTTTAGTGATGTGGGAATAATATTGATCCATAAACGATTTCAGTCACTTAAATTATTTGCTTGAGGCTTTTTCATGGTCATTTTAATTATTCGAGAATTTATATCTCCCTATCTTGACGCATCAACCGCGATTTTCATTACAAATATTAATTATTTGGCATTTTCCTCATCTTTGGTGTCACAGTTAATAATTTGCGTGGTGATAATATGCAAAAATCCAACTTCTTTTAACTCATTTGACGCCATTTGAATCAGCTAAACAAGTGTAGAGAAGCCAGAAAATATAGATGCATGTTAAGAAGCGCACACAAAAAAATTATGGACACTTTTGCTAATGATCCAAACGAACATGGTATCAAGGGAATGATATTTCTCTTGATATGGGGCCTCTTGGTCTTTGGTTTTTGTTTTTTTTTTACGACTGAAAACACATCGTAATATAAAGCCTAGTGTTTATATGTGGGGCAAATCCCAGACGATCAGTGACCTCAATGTTTCCCGATCGCCCTAGATTTTGCCGATATAGTCAAACAAAAATACGAAATTATAGATTTCCCCGACTGTTGGGATGATCGGCGAAAAATAGGCATCACTTGTATTATCCTGACTCTCCCAAATTTCTGAAATATCGGCGATCATTCACGATATTATAAAACCTCAATTTCCCAGTCGGAGACGTCGCCGATACTTTTAGCTCGCTACCTTTCTCTGGTTGCTTAACTACGGTAACCCCAAGTCACAAATGACAAAAAATGGCGTGCGGAAGAATCTGGGACAAACCTAGCTAGACGTCTGTCGATCTCTCGATATATCGGCAAAATCTGGACGGTCGGTAATAAGAGAAGTCGCCGATCGTCTGGGATTTTCCTGACGTAAGTAAACGAGGCGAAATAATTGCTCGAGGCGCAGCCGAGAGCAACTTAGTTTCTTAAGTACGCTCCAAATTTTCCGAGTGCTTCATATCTTCTTGAATTCACGGCTGATGTGTAATCGGATTGTTTTATAATATTACCTACGCACTTATTTAAATTGCGGTTTTTTTCTCAATTTAAAACTGCCGAAGAGACCAGCGCGCTATATTTCTATGAAAATCGTCTTTTGACCACAAAAAGCGCTATTGAAATGAGCAGATTTACAATAAATGAAAGAGAAGTGAGAGTCTTAATCAAAAAGTGCACAGACAGTCAAAATTTAAAATAAAATCGCAGACCCACACGGCGATAAAATTGCTTATTCCATTTGCACAATGTTGTCGGGTTTACAAAATATAAACCACGAGCCCAACGAAATCTATACGTTCAAAGCAAGGCAACAGCGACAAAGAAAATTAAATTTTGAAACAAAAGCTTTTTTAAAAGTTGCTCGCGTATAGGCGACCCAGGTAAGAGACTCACCATGTGTTAATCGTTGTTTACGAGACTACACGCACAGAAAATTGCGCTGCGTTTCAGTGGAACATTCTGAAAGCTGTCGGATTTATATCGAATTCTTCTGTTTTAAAACATTTAAAGGACATATCAACACTTAAAAATGATATTTACCGAGCCAAAGAATGATCCGAAAGTGACGAAGATCCAATTTAGTCAGGAAATTCAGTTTTTATTTTCCAGGCATAATTCGATTCCTATCGCGTTTGGGAATCGTAGCATTATTCCCCGATAAGCTTTTTTCGTCCCTTCTAAGGCTTAAATATCCATTGATTTCTAAATCGAATATCCTACCATAAATCTACCGTAATTTTGAGTTCCTACAGGTATATCTCATTCGGGATGTAACAGAAAAACGATCAGGCTTGGAAATTTTAACAATAGCAAATCCAAGTCAGCCAAGAGCGTTAAACTTCACTGAATACCTTTTTAAACTATAAACTAATACCCTCTACTCGAGGCTTCGGTCGCCTAAATGTACTTTACAGTGACCAAATCTAGTTGATACTTCCAACACGAGTTTCGGATTACACTCACCTCTCTTGATCAAAAACATAACTATCATACAAAACAATAACTAAGGAGTTTGGTTTGTTGAGTGCATTACGCGAAAGAAAGGAGAACACAGACAACTTTCAAGTTTTCAGTCTCCCGTATTTTAAACGATCAAACAGAAATCAAACGGGAGACGGCAGACAACAACAGCAGCAACTACAAACATAGTGGTCATTAACACCCTGCTTTCTTTGTAACATCTTTCTTCCTCTTGTCGAGGCAGTTGCTCTGCTTTTATCTTCTTTTGGTGGCGACTTGTTTCGAGATACAAAATCACATAAGCAGAGGCAACGAAAACGATACGAGTTAGTGGCAAGGCCTGTCATGAGAAGTAACCCATGATACATTTTTGGTGGCGCTGAAAACCCCACCAAGGATGGAAGTGATCCAAAATACTGACACTGCCATCTTCATGGTGTTGTCATTTATCAGATTCCAATATTCCATCAATATTCCTTCTACATTTTTAACAATCGGCCCTTTCTGAAAGCAATTTTGACAAAACCTCTGATCATCTCTTGCAAAAAAGAAAAATTTCTTAAAGACATACTTGTGAGGGCAAAAATGTAATTTGAAGGCAATAATGCGACGCCACCACAAAAACCTTATGAGGAGTCCGTGCCGGCCTGTCTTTACCTTTATTAGCATATGAAAAATTTACTATTGCGTGAATAGTGTTTTGAGCATCATCGTTCAAAAGTTAACTCCTTCAACTCCACTGATAATATCTATTTTTTTTTTGCATATATGATAAGTTAAAGCCTAACATAATATACACTAATACAACTAGTTACTTCTCGACTCCTATTTGATGGAAAATTTTTCAATTGGTTGCGAAAACATTTTCCTAGAGAACTTCTCGTGGCGAGTTTTACTTTGGTTCGCGATACAGCACACCCTGAAGACCTTCAAAAAAAGACAACTATTTTCTAGGATAGTCCTTCAGAAAAATGCATAAAACCAAAGCAGACGAATTCTTTAGTTAATTTGACTGTAACAACATCTTTATCCTTTAGACTTAAAGAGTGACCGACATATAATTTTCCTTTGCTATATCAGGATAAAGAAAATGATCATCAACGAAAGGAGATCTTGATTGTTAATAAAAATTCCTCTTGTCGTCTCCTTGGGAAATATACAGAGAACGGTTTGGAGAATATGCATACTGATGTCAGGGTGTAAATGGTTAAAAGAGCAAAACAGGAACATGTTGAACAGAGATATCGAGATTGTTTCCCTGTTCATTTATGATTTTTGTATCATTTTAATAAGATCAAAGAATTGAAAGTTTCAGATAATTTGTTGATCGCTAGGAAAGGGCAAAGACAAAAAAAAATGGCCGACCTGTAAAAGCGCTTTTGAAAAAGTTTGCCCAGTTCGTAACTAAAAATGGAAATAGTCGTAAACTTTTTCTCTCATGGCTGTAATCTTGACTATTTAATACATTGTCGAGAAGAAAGGAATTGAGAATTAAGAAAATTATCATAAAGGAAATATTATCTTGACGGATCACTACATTTTCAAGAATATCCAATTAAGAAATGTTCGGTCGTCAGTTAGGAAAATTAGTTTTCAGATCTTAAATAAGAGTGAAAAAGTTAAAAATTTCTTTATCAAGCCAATAACGATGCTTTGTCTCTGAAGTCACATGCAGGTTCTATTTTAAAGTCTGTTTTTGGCTTTTCATTTGGCCCAACCAGCAGTTTTCAGTTCGGCGCAGGTACCAGGCGAAAGTGGTGCCCTATTGTGCCATATGCGTTCAGTGAGAGACTGCGCATGACCGTGTGAAACGACTGTACAATCAACCACGCGACGAATTTTATTGAAAAAACCCTTTCATCCTTTTTTCTTAGATTCTTCGAACAAAAAGCATACGGATCAAGGCAATGGAAGGCCTATGGCCGTTAACTTCACGTCCGACACAAAGCGATTAATCTGCCTGGCGATTTTATTAGGAATCTATCTTCTCTCCGGTGCTGTGGTCTTTCAAGTATTAGAGAACGAAAATGACAAACTGGAGATACAAGAATTAAATTCTATGAAGAAGTTTTTCCTTGAGAAGCATAACATGACACCAGATGATTTCGACTTTTTGGTGGAGAAGGTTGAAAATGCCGTGAAACACCGTTGTGGCGGCGACCCTGACCAGTGGTGTACGTCCCGATGGACATACTACGCTTCATTGTATTTTACATGGAGTGTTGTCACGACTGTCGGTAAGGTCTTTTTGCCTTTTATAATTTTCGCTCAAAAACTTGACCTTTAAAATTATAATACAATATTTAATTTTAAGACGTTTGGAGAGCATTAACTCTCTTTATATTGTTGTTGTTGTTGACTCCTAAATTTAACAGCCATAATTTTTTATAGACCAGTCATTATTCAAAAAGAGGGAGGGGGGGTAAATAGACGATTGACTGCCGATTACCAGCAATGAGGGAGAGGGGATCATAAATATACTAAAGCACCTTAGGGGGTATCAGGTAAATTTTATTTTGTCACAACCAAAGTTCACCACACATCCCCCCCACCCACCCCCCAGCCTCCCAAGCGACCAGTCCCGTGGCTCACGTTCCTTTTTTTTATACTCCTATGGAGATAAATTCAACAGCTATTATTGATTCATAAAATTTCTATATTTTCATGGTCTGTTTGAATTTCATTATAAAGTATAAATTTTTCGTTTTAAGTTCTCGTTGCTTATCTTTGATTTAAAGGTTAGCTGGAAGAGCATGATCTGTTTTTTTGTTTTTCCTCCGCTTATGTGTTTCTTCTGTGATTTCACCACAACTGAACCCCTGTTAGCGTCCTCTCTTTGGAAAATTGTCGGGAAGGCAGTTAAAGAAATGAAAAAGGGGATACTTTTCTAAAGAAACTGTGGTGATGCGTTGGTGGGAGAGTATAAAACGATAATTAGGTTCTATTAACTGAGTTGATAACGTAAATTGGCCATCGTGAAGAGTTTCTTCGCTAGCATATCGAGCATTAGCCCCTCTTTAGAACGAATAGAGGAATTGTGGGTTGATGTGTATTTATTTTCAACCTTTTAAGCTAATGAAAACCCGGCTTGCTTTTTAAGCAAGAGCGTAGATCATCTTAAGCGTAAGGTATGCATATTACTTAAGAAACAATTTTTGTTGAGACTACGGCCAATTTCTTTAAAACAAAGGTTGCTAAAATTAACCTCAAGTTCTAACCTGACCCATTTCCTTTCTCTTACTATTCAACAGGCTATGGTCACTTAGCTCCCAGTACAGTTGGCGGTCGTGTTTTCTGTATGGTTTTTGCTTTATTTGGAATTCCTTTAAATCTAATGGTGTTACGTCACATTGGAGACCGCGTCAATCAACTGATAAGTTATATTCACTTCTTAGTAGAAACAAAACTGCTCAACCGGGAATCACAACCAGTTGTCACAAAAACTCTTATGTGGACGCTGCTAGCTCTCCTGATGATGCTTTTTGTTGGAGCGTTTCTTTATCTGCAGGAAGAACAATGGAACTTTCTAGAAGGAGTGTATTTCTGCTTCATCACGTTCTCGACTATCGGATTTGGGGATCTGGTGCCTAATGGAGGTAAGGAGGAGCTCAGAATAAATAGGCTTAAAAAATTGGAAAGTTGTCCTCAAATGCGTTAAATACAGAATAATAAGTGGGCGTGCTTAGGTATGGAAATTTCTCTTCGAGTGTTCAACTCAATATCTACTAGCAGCCATATATTATTTTTTTCTATAACATAGCGCGCGTGCTCGCCCTATATGAGTCCTATTGAGCAGCTGTGAACAAAATCTTTATTTACGCACGCCCGTGCGTGAATAAGATGCCGTGAGCACTTTTTTTTTTAACCTGGCTTTAGAGTTTCCGTCTTGTTAAGCTGCAGTTTACCTGCTTTTCTAAATATGGAAGAAACCAGCGAAGAACTGCCCAATTTTTCTATTGGAATTGACCTTTTGGTTCTGATCTAACAGGCAACAAAAATAAAGCCGAAAAAAACTCGGGTCTTTAATTTTTAAAACATTTTTTAGTGACACTTGAGTTCATTTGCCTCTGATTTTCTCCATTTTCTACTACAATTTTGAGCTTTTTCATTCACAGTTATTGGTTAACTGGATCAAATGCTCTCGCTCAAATCAAACTGTAAAATGTGGCGTGTTCTTGACCAGCAAATAGGGACGTTTGTTTACTCTTTTTGCGCGTTGTGAGAATTTTGCTCTCTTTCACAATAAAAGGTTTCTTCGCGCAAATCTTTGCTGTCGCTCTGTTATGAAAGAATTTGCTCATGCTTTTAGCTGTACGTATATCGAGTTATGGATGCACTTGGGAAGTTTGGAAAGCACTCAAAAAGCTAAAGTTGCTCTCGGCTGCGCCTCGAGCTACTCTTACGCATTTTCCGTGCCCTCCAAACCTTCCGCATGCATCCATAACTCGATATACGCACGCTAAGCATAAACATATTCTTAAATTATGTAAACAAGATAGCCCTTTACTGACAAGAGAAGTCGGCTCTATTGACCCTTTAACTTCCAGAAGTGATTGAGAGGTAACTTTTCCCTACAACATCCTTACACTATCTAGCAAATAGGTAATGAGGATACTTAAACTTATCACGTAGAAGTTTTTTTTCTTAATCCAACACCAAATTCTCCGAACTAATTTGGAAGGAAATGTCTAACAGCTAGAAGGGAAAATTAACAATCAGATCTTGGACGTAAAAGGGTCAATATGTAAGAAAAATAGGATTCGCAATAACAGAAGAAATATGCTTTCAATCACTACAAATACAAACAATAGGCGTACCTTTCAATTTCCAAATTCCCAATTACTGACCTTTTCCTAACTAAAAGAAAAAATCTTTTCAGGTGCACGGCCAAAATTGACCTGTGGTAAATCTTCTAGCTGTCGTTTTTCATTCTCAGCCGCGAGAGTACGTAACCTTCGGTTTTTTCTTTTATATTTTGGTTTCCCTCCCCTTAAAGAAAATTGTTTGTGAGTGATACGAATTTTCCAGTGTTTTAGCATCAATAATCATAGAAAACTTGGATTGAGGTTGATGAAGGCTTTGCCATTCATTAACATGACAGAGTAGCGCGAAAGGCAGGTGACGTGTCAACAGCTGATTGGCGATATCTAACATACGATTAAAAAAAATCGCATTTTTTCAAGTATGTTGTTCCGGCTTTTCTCAAGGCTGAAAATCCTTGTACAACACTGCAGTTTATGTGATAAGTGAGTATAAATTTTCACTATGAACGCGGTCATTTTGAATCTCGCAGCCGCAATAACAAGAAAAGCTTTGTGCATACTTTGAAATTGTCGGTTTAATAATCGTATAGTTTCTAGAGTATACTTTTCCTAGAACTATATGTTGATGTAAAGGAAAAGAACTTTACAATCCCCTGACCTTTTAAAGCGACTTACATCCCAAGTAAAGATGACTTGAAATATTTTCCTGAAACTTTCTTAACAATATGGGTCCAACTTATTCGATCTTGATTGTGTACATTCAAAACCTTCGACGTGTTCCTCAGCAGAGAACATGTCCGTCCTTCCAAAATAGCGCAGGAATGTTTTTCAAGATTTTAAATCGAATGGGTAGCTCTTTTCTCGCTGAATTTGGATTGAATAAGCTTGGTGTAAATTGTGCTTGAACTACGTCGGAAAAATACATCTTCAGTCCTTCAAAATATATGTGCGTGCCTCAGTATGCATGTCAATTCCATTCACGATTGAAAAAAACTACCAGTACTAATCTGACTAATATATTTTTCTCTTTAGGACAAGCTCCCTCTGATGTTGGAAGCATTATCATGGAACTGCTGCGTGCAACAGTGGTGCTTTTAGGAGTATCTATGTTTTTCTCCATTATTACGTCTGTGTTAACCGCTTCTGAAGAACTTCGTGTCAATTTTCCTGCAGGCAAACATTTGGACGATTTAGGAAAAAAATCTGAAAAGTCACTAGAAAGCGGGGAGATTGAGGTACAGGAAAAATTGAAAGACCAGGAAGGAAAAAGGATCATGAACGATGTCGCGAGCGGAAATATTAATGCCGTAAATGATAAAAATAGCACAACAACGGGTGCTTCTTTGGCAAAATAAAAACCTATCGGCAAATATTTTGGAGCCAATTAATAACAATGGAGCATAGAGTAAAATCGATATTGAAGAGGTTCTAGAGAAGACAACAAAAACTAGATATTTCAATTTTAATAAAGCTTTAAATAATTTACCTGATGATTCTAAGGGTGGCTTTGCGCAGTTCATCTTCAATGCAGTTTACTTTCCTCATTTTGTTATTCTCCAGCTACAAGACAGGAAGATAACAATTCGCCACATAATGAATATCTCAAAGACGTTATTTTGTGCCTGCGCAAACTCATTAATTAACTGAATGATGATTTCGTTTTCTTTTTTGCTTGCCCAAACACAAATCAATTAATTTTTAGGTTAAACAAAATAAATGTATTTTTTATTCTAGCCACTCTTCAAAACGATATTCGTAATAAACTTGTGTTATCGACAACATTTTGATGCATTGGATTGTGTTGCTCTAGTATGACGCTTTTAAATAGCAATGAAAGATGAACGATTGTCAATGTTGCAAAAGGATTTGACTCATTGAGCCTACCTTTACGAATAAACGGGGTATTTTTTTTAAAGAAACTGCGATGCTTCGTCGTTAGGGGGTATTAAAACATCGGCCTTATCAGATGAGTTGATAGAGTAAATTCGCTGCTGTTAAGAGTTTCTAAGCCTACGTTTCGAGCGTTAGCCCTTCGTCAGAATGAAAAAGAATCAGGGCCAACGCTCGAAAGTCAACTTTAGGAACTGTTTACGGAGGCCAATTTACATTTTGAAGAGACCTAATTAACTTGTGAATTTATGAATGGCTGAAAATGACAAGAAACTGAAGTTCTAAATCTATTTTGATATTCCTGTCAAAGTAGAAATGGAAGGAAATATAAAAAAGGTTTCTCAAGTAACTTGAGAAACGAGTCTGTGTTAACCGCTTCTGAAGAACCTCGTGTCACTTTCCTGCAGGCAAACATTTGCCCCCCTTAAGTAAAAATTCTGACAATTCATTAGAAAGCGGGAAGATTGAGGTACAGGAAAAGTTGAAAGATCAGGATGAAAAAAGGATCATGAACAATGTTGAAAATGGAAATATTGATGTAGTTAAAGACACAAATAGCACAAAAATGGGTGCTTCTTTGCCAGAATAAAAACCTGTTGACGAACATTTTGGAGCAACAATGGTGCAAAGAGTAAAATCGATATTGAAGAGGTTCTAGAGAAAACAACAAAAACTTGATATTTCAATTTAAATGAAGCTTTAAATGGCTTTGCGCAGGGTCATCTTCAATGCAGCCTGCTGTTCTCATATTTGACGATCTCCAGCTGCCACACGGGAAGATAAAAAATTGTCACATAATAAATATCTCAAAGATATATTTTTGTACCCTCGTAAAGTCACTAACAGAAGGTGAATTTAGTTTTCTTTTTTGCTGACCCTTACACATATCAAGTGATTTTTAGGTTATAACATAAAACGATATTCGCAATAAACTTGTGTCATTGACAACATTTTAATGCATTCGATTGTATTGCTCTAGCAAGACGCTTTTATGCAGCAATGACAGATGAACGATTTTCAACGTTGCAAAAGGATTTAACTTAATAAGCCGAATAAACGCAATGTTTTTTTAGAGAAACTGTTGTTGACTGATTCTCTTGTAAACTTATGAATGGTTAAGAATGACAAGAAAACTGAAGTTCTAAATCCATTTTTACATTTCTGTCAAAGAAGAAATGTAAGGAATATATTAAAAGGCTTTTAAAGTAACTTGAGAAACGAGACGATTGCTACGAAATTGGATAATTTTTGAACAATTACGCAATCCGCCAACTTCAAAGAGCATTTAAGCTTGACGGTAGTGTCCCTTTTTCAATGTAAACGATAGACATGTACAAGCATTTTCTTCAAAGATGAAGATTCCCACTAAACTATCTCCATCTTTGCTGTACATAACAGTTCTGTGGGGAGGATGGCTTCACTGCCCTGTGGATGGAAACGGTGGTACGTATTTGATATTTAACTGTTTTCCTGTGCTCGTCCGTCTTTCATCCAGAACATTTCGGTTCGTTAAATATCAACTTTTCAGAACAGATATTTCCTTCAATATTTTTTTTGTCACTTGTTCTGTTATCAGTGGAGAGTAGAGTCATTTTAAAGATTTTTCGTGTTTCATTAATTAACGGACTGAAAATGGTAGTGTTGTTGATATGTATCGCCCTAACAGTGATATTCTCATTTCTAATCAGAGTGTAAGTATTTCTTTCGCTGAAATTCTGATCACATTTTTCCGTACTACAAATCCAATCCCTTCCAGATTTTGGCTGCCGAAGTCTTAGGCTTAAGAGATCAGAAGGAGAATGTGCTCCTAAACGTTACGTATTTAGAGAAATTTACTTGCCAATGGGGAAGGAGCTCATGACTCACGACTGTAGATATGAGTGCCTCATGGAGAGCAACTGTTTGTCTGTGAACATTGGCCCACCAAACGAGAAAGGCTTCAGGCTCTGCCAACTGAGTACTTTTGACCACACCCAACATCGTGAAGATAAAGAAATAAGAAAAGGTTTTATTCTCTGGGCCTCTGAAGCAGGATTTTACTTTATATTACGATACAATTTTTGGTCAAGTATAGTTGCTAACAGGCATTTTTCTATCCTATCAGAATCAATGCTTCAGTAATCCTTGCCTCCATAATTCCACCTGTCTTAATGGATATACCGACAAGAGATACATTTGCTTGTGCACAGATAGTTACATGGGAGAAAACTGTGAAAAAGGTCTCACTAATATTCTTTTTTAATGTTCTGAAGGTTCTTCATCCAGCTTGCGGATAAGCTCATATCAGTCTTCATTGTTTCCTTTGTTTAGATAGAAACGAGTGTGTTGACAACACTCACGACTGTCATGCCAAAGCTGTTTGTAATAATACCGAGGGATCATTTACCTGTAGCTGTACAGAAGGTTATCAGGGGGACGGTCGGAATTGCACAGGTGAGATTCATAGATATTCATAGAGACATATTAATAATAATGAAACATTTTTATAGCACCATATCCAATGGCTCATGGCGCTTTACAAAGCCTTGCGTGGGACTTAGATGCCCGAATTTTAAGAATTAAGGCCCCCTACTCTCTGCGATATTTGTATAAATAACTCAACGTCCCCCATCGGCCAGTACAGAAGAGATGCAGGAGAAGGGGCGTACGGTTTTTTCGTCCTCATCCGAGAAGACTAAAATGTCAAATCACTTGCAGATATCAGAGCAAAGGTATCACATTCTCTTCAGTAATTTTAAAACCGTGATCATGAGTGTTGGTCCGGTTCGGGGCGTGAACTATCGGCCTCCCACACAGCAGTACGGCGCTCTACTAAATGATCTAACCATTTTCAGTTATTATCAGCCAACTTTGACTGAATTCCAAGTATCAAACATATTAAATGGGGAAAATGTTTCAGCTGTAATCGATAACTGGTCCTCGAACGTAAGGAGAAGACGGTCCAATGATACACCTTTTGGTCTCTTCATTCTCGCTGAGAGTGATTTTTCTGAAGACCAAAACAGTCATTGCTGATATGCATCACGGTCGATTTTGCAAAAACATTGATGGATTTTCGTTCACCGGTTCTTGTTGACTTCAAAAATTTCCTGTTTTCGTACATTGTACCTCGTATTTCAGTTGTAACCATTGACCAACCAGTAACTAGAGGCAGTGGGATTGAATTGCGTCCGAGCCTGAAAATTTCTTAAATAGTCTACGATAGTTTTTAATTGCAACTTTTTTTTAGGATTTCTCTTTATTTGGTGTTCCTGCCCTTTTCTTGTTTACTTTCAAACTTTTTAGATGTGGACGAGTGTACCAGCCAAACCCATGGCTGTCACTATAATGCAAGTTGCAATAACACAGTCGGCTCTTACACATGCAAATGCAAAACGGGATTCACTTGCGGTAAGTATAAGAAATGTTGTGTGATTTTTTTTTTTTTTTTAGTTTTTTCAGAAGTTTAACTGATAACGATTTGCTTGATCCGCTTGAAACAGCACCGGAGATAAACTTTGATAAAACGTGCGTTTAAAACGAATACTTAATTCAATCATTGCAGTTCAGACAGGTACTTTCTCATTCCATATAAACTGTGACATAGGAAAATACTTATCATAAGTGCCATGTAAGCACACCAAAATGAACATTGGCACAACCTGAAATCTACGAAATCGAGGTCGTATGGATTACATTTAATGGGCTTAGGATTCTATAATGGAATGACCAGGAACTAAGTAAGACAAGTTTTCCACAGATTTCGCTGAAGTGGTTCATTACCTGATATGTCTACACAGGAAATTCACTCAAAAAATTACTTAACGATCAGTGCTCAGAAATTATATTCGTCAGGAGAAGACTCCTCCTGTTATGAGCAACGCGTATCCCATAGTTTCCTCCAGATAATCAAAATAATTTCAAGTTTCTTTACCAGGGTAGGAAAACTTAAGATCTAAAGCACCCTTAATGAGCTTAATGTTTTACATATTTGTTCTCTCAACTGTTTGAACTGATCATACAACCAGCTGCCAGACTGAACACAAACATTCAAGATAGAGATGAAATTACAACTTAATTAAAAAAATGGATGTCAATTTTATATTTTCCTCTCAGCATTCAAAGCCGTGTTCTCAAATCTCAATGCCACTGGAAGATATGGTCCAACATCGCTTGGAAGTTACTACGCAGGTCAGGATCATGACGGACAAGTTGCTCTGTCCAGCGGTATTCAACAGTGGACTGTACCGTACACTGGTGATTACAGAATAGAAGCAATTGGGGCAGCTGGAGGGTACGATAAAGGGATAAACAGCCCTCAGTACCGCGGGAGAGGAGCAAGAATGATTGGAACATTCCGCTTAATCAAGGGTGAAGCCATCCATATATTTATTGGTCAAGAGGGAGGAATAAACAAGATGTATAAATCCTCTGGCGGCGGTGGAGGTACATTTGTAGTGAGAGGAGCCAACACACCTTTGATAATAGCTGGAGGCGGAGGAGGGGTACAATATGGATTTTCAAAACATACAAAATGTGACGCCAGCACAAGCACGACAGGGAATCCTGAAGACAGACCATGGTCAGGAGGGAGCAATGGACAAGGTAAAAGAATTTTTTAATAACCTTTTGCATTTTAGCATTTAGGTAGTAATTTAACATTTTCGTGCAAAATGTTTATTCTGCCATAATCTCACGATATCCCCATCAAAAGTTTTCTATCTATCAGGCAGGAAAGATGAAACGAAGGATGAAACGAAATCTACGTTCAGATTGGTCATGGATCTACCTTACTCACCCCGGCGATATATCCCGCATCGTCCCGCGGTTAATGATTTGGTTTTGGTGATACCGGTATGCATGTTAGGTGCTTTATTGACCTTGAGCAAGTTTAAGCAAGAATTTTCTTGCTTTTATTTTTATTTTTGCTTTTTTTCGTTTCGGTTTTATATTCCTATATGGGCTGGTTTCCTCATCATATGAAAACATCAATTCCTTTTCGCCGAGTGTCATTAACTCTGTAAACTTAGTAAACATTCTGGGTCTTCAAAACACCAATGAACGACTGGCTGTTGCTTATCGCCTAAAGGGGGAGGTCCGAGGATATTGCTTGTGACGATTAAATTTTCCTGGATCCCTCTCCTGAGGCTCTGTAAAATTCTTAAAAGCCTTCCCCCCTCCTCCCCCCCTCAATGACAATCATTTTCCTAAAGTCCCACCTGTGTACACTATTGACGAGGAATAATCCCCCACCCCCCGAGAGCCATGTGATTACACCAAGAACTCTCCATGAACATTACAACATAGGCTAATGGGCTAACCGTGGGCGGTATATCACTATTTCTCACGGGGTTAGTGGCGGGTTCTACTCCAGAGGAAGAAGTACAAACAATTTTGATGGGAAAGAGGGAAATGGTGGAGAAGGTGGTGAGGGATTTCCTTAGAGAGGGGTAGTGGGAGATCTAGCATTCGGGTTAGCCATAGTGGGTTTGGAGGAGGTGGTGGGGTGGGAAGAAAGTGTCCTGGAGGTGGAGGAGGAGGATACTCTGGGAGAAGCAGTGGAGATGGTATTTATGACTCCAAAGGGGTGAGGGAGGCCCTACGATGTTAGAAACAGTCAGGACAATGAATGTTGTTACAGCACGGCTGTTCATGGTCGGGTGACCATCACACTTCTGTAAAACAAACAAGATTGACGATATCATACACGTCCAAGAAAGATACCGTAATTTTTTCACGTGTGTTGTTACGGCTTTTCTCAGGGTTGAAAACTCTCGTAGAAAACCGCAGTTTATATGATAAGTGTGTTTAAAATTTTTAACTATAAACGCGGTGATTTTGAATCTTGCCTAACAACTAACCTGCTTTTGATAGTTGTCAAACTTCATCTGGTAATCTCTTGAACGTTACAGAACATATCAAGGTTTACTTGACCACATCCTTATCCTCTTTATTTTCCTGTTTTCACGTTCATCAGAGCACCGCTGCCTTTGAACCGTGCTTCTAAAAAATATGTGCGTGCCATACATATATTCCAATTCCACTCACAACTAAAATATTATCAATAGTAATCTTATTAAAATATTTTTCTCTCTAGAACAAGCTCCCTCTGATATTGGAAGCATCATAATGGAACCGCTTCGTGTCACAGTGGTCCTTTTAGGAGTATCTATGTTCTTCTCCATTATTACGTTTTAACCGCTTCTGAAGAACTTCGTGTCAACTTTCCTGAAGGCGAACACTTGGAAGCTTTAGGGAAAGCGGTGGACAGGGACTTGTCCTGAGGCACAAGATAAATCGAAAGATCACGAAGAAAAAAGGTTCATGAACGATGTCGAAAGTGGAAATATCGATGCAGTTAAAGATACAAATAGCACAACAGTGGACACTTCTTTGCCAGAATCAAAACCTATTGTACCTTATTAGACTCAATTACTGAAGATAATTTCGTTTTCTTTTTTTGCTTGCCTAAACACAAATCAAGTAATTTTTAGGTTACATAAAATAAATTGGTTTTTTTTTTTTTTTTATTTTAACCACTCCTTAAAACGATATTCGAAATAAACTTGTGTCATCAACAACACTTTAATACATGGGAATATATTGCTCTGGTAAGATGCTTTTTTTCAGCAATGGAAGATAAACGAATGTCGACGTTACAAAACGATTTGAGTTAATGAGCCTACATTTACGAATTAACGGGGTATTTTTCTAAAGAAACTGCAGTGCTTTGGGTGATGTATACCTGAGGGTTATTTTTAATCTCTTCTGTACCCTCTTGGGTAGTGTATACCTGAGAGTTATTTTTAATCTCTTCTATACCCTCTTAGGAATTCTATACCTGAGGGTTATTTTTAATCTCTTTTATACACTCTGGGAAGTGTATACCTGAGGGTTACTTTCAATCTCTTCTATACCCTCTGGGAAGTGTATACCTGAGGGTTATTTTTAATCGCTTCTATACCCTCTTGGGTAGCGCATACCTGAGGTTTGTTTTTTATCTCTTCTATACCCTCTTGGGTAGTGTATACCTGAGGTATAATTTTAATCTTTTCCATACCCTCTTAGGTAACGCACAACTGAGGGTTGTTTTTTATCTCTCCTATACTCTAGGTCTGTGGTCTAACGGTGTCCGGTCGCTAGAGGCAACTAACTTTTGGATTCGCGCAACTGAAAAAAAATATTGCTGGTCGCCCTGCCGGGCACTCTTGTCTCTCGGTTCAGTTCTTTAGTATACAAGAAGGCATAAATGTGTGACATACTGTTGTCCGTTTATTGTGTTTCTGACGCATCGCTAAAATTTACTTTGACATCAGATACGTTTCCGTGCTCGGATCTGAAGTTTTGTCTCACATAATTTAGCAAATATCTAACATTACAATCTCCGACAAAACACATCAACATTCTGAATATTAGTTCCATTTCCCGAAATATGATCTCAGTCATATGCATGTTTCATCATCCTTAATACAATTGTTTTAAATACTTTCCATCCGCGAAGCGTGAATTGTTATTTTTAGGAAGTCTTCGTTTATGCAAATTTATCGCGTTTTCTGGTCGGCTTAATTTGATAATTTGCTTGCTTAGAGTTAAGCAGCTGTGGATGGTTAGCTTCATTTGTTTAGAATTCACATCTCGGCGATGAAATGCTCAATGCTAGATAACTGCAATAATAAATTCACTTAATTTGCAGGAATATAATAGCATAGTTGTATTAATCTGGTATAAATTTCTCTTTAACATTATGACGCTTTCCATCCATTTGCTACTGTAATAGCTTATTTTGGCCTAACACGGCAAATACAAGTATTACTGGATCCACGTGAATAGAAAAAAAAAATTGAAGACATTCGATATGTCACCAGCTAATTTATATAAACATTTTTTTGTGACGCAAAGCTCGTCATGCCCAATAGCATTTAAGCTTGACGATAGAGTGTACCTGCTTCACTGTAAACGATAGACATGTACATGTACACAAATTTTCTTCAAGGATGAAGATTCCCTCCAAACTATCTCTATCTTTCCCCTCCATTGCAGTTTTGTGGGGAGGATGGCTTCACTTTCCTGCGTATGGAAACGAGGGTAAGTCTTTGATATCTCACTGTTTTCCTTCGCTCATCCGTCTTGTGTTTAGAATTCCAGTCCGTTATTTCTTCGAAATAGAGTAAGAAATGTAACACTTGTGAAGAGCAATTTCTGCATTTTTTTCAAAATAAATCTTTTTTTTACTGACTTCTAACTTAAAGTATCAGTAAAAGTTATCAAGTTGAACTTTAATTTACGTAAAAATACCTGATAAGCTCTGTGTGTCTTTAATTAAACAAGCTTGTTCACGCAACCGTTTCGAGGTAAAATTTTCCTTTTCTTCCCTCTTTGTCATTAAGCCTGACTTTCATTTGATATCAGCTTTGAAGCGCTTTGCCAGCCAAGTAGGAGCCACGCACATCAGAGGTCACAGCAACAAAGACACGCCAAATAATCGCCCTTTTGGCTTAGTTACATTAAAAAGACATATTAGGAAATTCAAAAAAGATAATTTTCGCCTTGAAGGTTATACTTTACAAGAGAATAGGAACAAACTTACTCTATTCAGGGCTCTGTATTTTGGTTGTTTGTTCAACAATGCCATAGCAGGTGGTTTAGAGCCTTAACTAAAAAAAAACCAACAATTTTCTAGTTCTAAACTAGCCTTAGTTTTCCTTTAGGTTCAAAGTTGCTTAGAGAGTTTTGTTTTTTTAGAAATACTATTTTGGATACAGATGAAGTGCATACGTCTTATGTAGCACTGTGTAACAATCGTCACACGTTATAATACCTGTCGGATTTTGCATTAGCTCTTGTCGCGATTTCTAATTAAATACTGTTCCACTTTGCACCCACTTTAGTTTTGAACATCATTGATGTTATTTCTGTGACCAATAAGTTTTTAAGGAATGGAAAATCGTGGTCGATTTTTAAGTTGAAACGATAAGAAAAAATTAACGAAAATATTGAAGTTCTTTCAAGTAAACACAAGACAGTTAAACGGTTGGTTCGTCATTAAACAGCTGTCAGTCATTTATGCAATCTGCGCTGAATACACTACTAAACTGAATACGATACTTAAGTGCTGCTCTCGCTAAGAGGGGTCAACTCGACTTCCCGTCGGAAAAAGTTTCCTTTTACTGTTTGCCTATGAAAAGGGTTTAGGACACATGTAAACTATGCACTGATATGTTTTTTAGACCCATCAACGCCTGCATTTTGAGAATTCTTTCGTACAGATTGGTTAATTTTTTTATATGCAAATTAAGGTCGAAGAGAAGGGTCTCCTCTGATCACACTGATATGAAAAATATTTCAGGTGAAGTTTCCATATTTTGTCTGTGAACTAGCTGAATACACCTTGTAATTTGTAGCAAAATAGAATTCCATGAGCTATATTATTGCAGTCGATAGGCGCTGTACAAAATCTGTGAAATCTACACTTTCGCTGTCCTCACGGGCGGTCTAGCCAAAAATTATTTTCGGCTTGTGGCGACGCAAAAAAAGAGAATTGGGTAACAACTAAACTATTTTTAAGCATGTGCCCTAAACCCTTTTTATGGGCAAAAAATAAGACAATTTTTTTTCCAACAGAAGTCGAGAGGACCGCTCTTAGCCAGAGCAGCATTTAACACATGGTCAAGAACACGTAAGCTTGACGATAGAGTTTCCCTGCTTGAGCTGCTTGACAGTTAACGATACGCATGAAACCGTCTTTTCCGCTGCGTTTTTAAGAATGAAGATTCCTACTTAACAAGCTCTATCTTTATCGACTAAAATATCGAGCTGTGTCAACTGAATTCGTCAACGCAAATTTTGGGGCGATTCTGATTTTCTTCCTAAGAATTACAAATTGGTTGTTTACGTAGATACCAAGGCGCCTAAGAGATTGTAATTTGAATAGAAAAAAGGAAAAATGAGAAAAGAAAAGAAAATGTTGAGTTTCCAAAATGTTACGGCCCAAATGTCATTTCTTTGTAAAAAATTGTGTAAGCTTTTGAAACTTGTCGAGCATTGCGCTCGCTCTTCAGCTGCCGGCTTGTGAAGTGCACTGGCTGAGTTCCCGAACTTAAGAAAACCTTCATGATGGCATGCCCTACATATCACGAGGCTTTCCCAAACTGCATTTCGTTCCGTTAAATATCAGCTTTTCAGCACAATAGGTCTTGAGACTAAAAGAAGATGTATGTAAACGAAATTTAGGAGGAAGAACGATTTGCAACGAGGGAGAGTTTTTGGTCGCTCATTAGCATAAACAAAGACAAACATCAGATATTCTGTTTGCTCATCAACACCAAAACAGGTGGTTTCTTCCCTTAACTAAAATAACATAGAGTTTTATAATTCAGGCTGAACATATTTTCATACATTTTATGTATAAGGCGACATAAGCCAACCAGAGTTTTCAAGTAGGTTTAAACCTATTAAGATTGCACGGCAAGTAAAAAATCCGATATTGGCTATCGATGGAACACACAGTTGTAGTGTGAAAATTACCTCGTAATAAAAAACACTTTATTTTTAAGAAACTCAAGATTCATATTAAAGTCTGAAAATTTTCTTTTTAAAGCAATTTTATGGTAAAATGATCTCTTGGATCACATCTTACGCGAAACGATAAGTTTGAAACCTAATTGATTTATCTTTTAGCTATCTTTTACAAACTACCTTAATACCAAAAGCCTTTTTAATGTAAAAGGCTACCATGAAGATCTAACAGCAACAATTTTTTTCCCGTTATTTATTCTGTTATCAGGGAAGTCACTTTAAAAGGTTTTTTTGTGTTTCATTAACTAACGGACTGAAAGTAGTATTGTTGTTTATTTTATTTTATTTTTAATTTTTTTTTTTTTTGTCCTGACCCAAAGTGTTTATGGTACACTAATAAATTCTGTAATATCTGATATGTATCGCCCTAGCAGTGGTATTCACGTTTCTGATCAGAGTATAAGTATTTCTCGAGCTGAAATTCTGATGACATTTTTTCTTATGAATCCAATGCCTCCAGATTTTGGCTGCCGAAGTCTTAGGTTTAAGAGATCAGAAGGAGAATGTGCTCCTCAACGTTACGTATTTAAAGAAACTTACTTGCCAATGGGGGAGGAGCTCATGACTCACGACTGTAGATACGAGTGTCTCATAGAGAGCAATTGTTTGTCTGTGAACATCGGCCCACCAAACGAGACAGGCTTCAGGCTCTGCCAACTGAGTACTTTTGACCACACCCAACATCGTGAAGATAAAGAAATACGAAAAGGTTTTATTCTCTGGGCCTCTGAGGTAGGATTTTACTTTACATTACAATACAATCGTCTGAAATCAGCTTGAATGTTTTTGGTCAATTATAATTACTAACAGGCGTGTTCGTATCCTGTCAGAATTCGTGCACCAGTAATCCCTGCCTCCATGATTCCACCTGTCTCAATGGATATACCGACAAGAGATACATTTGTCTGTGTCCAGATAATTACACGGGAGAAAACTGTGAAAAAGGTCTCACTAATATTCTTTTTTAATGTTCTGAAGGTTCTTCATCCAGCTTGCGGATAAGCTCATATCAGTCCTCATTGTTTTCTTTGTTTAGATAGAAACGAGTGTATTGACAACTCTCATGACTGTCATGCCAAAGCTGTTTGTAATAATACCGAGGGATCATTTACGTGTAGCTGTACAGAAGGTTATCAGGGGAACGGTCGGAATTGCACAGGTGAGATTCATAGATATTCATACAGACATATTAATAGTAATGAAATATTTTCATTGCATCATATCCAATGGCTTACGGCGCTTTACAAAGCCTTGTTTGGCACTTTGGCCAGACTGCATTGAACAGTTTACAATTTTTGAAGGAAACTTTTGCGGATACCCCCATTTTAAGAGTTCAGGCTGTCGCGTACCCAATGCAGCGGACACGGGGTGTTGTGCACTGGAGTTCGGGGAGTATCACAGTGTAGGAATCGACAACACAAGTTGATTCAACGTCTTCGTGATCTGCATTTGACGGGTGTCGTTAAAGTTAAAACTATAATAGATCAGAAACCCACAAACTCAAAATACGAAGAGAAACCAGCGAATATTGAAAGAAGTTTGAGTGAACTGACAGAAAAGACAACAGAAGCACTTCAGGGGAAATGACTTGAGTTTGATCGAGCAGAGAGTCAATGATGTTTTAAGCTCAAATTAAACAAAATTTGTGGTGAATTTATAGCATCACCCATTACTTGAGGAATCACAAAAGGGTAAAGAAAATCACCTGAACAATACAATAGATTTACGAAGAGCAGCATAAAGTTAAAGAAAACTTTCAAATTCTTACCTCTGTGCCCCTAGAACCAAAGCTTGCCATGGGTTTCAGATCATAAGTGTGTTGTAAGTGGTCTGAGTCACTCAGCTGGCATAAAATTTTATCTTTTCCGCTTGGTCCAGTATTGATCGATGTACATCTGTCTTCCATAGTACACCAATTTCTGCAGTGACTATACATATGCATTCCGACTGGTAATGAAATGTTTTTGAAGACGTGGCCTATCAATACATATCCATTTATTGGCTCCAGATTCTTGAGACGTCGACAGCCATATGTATAACAGACAGGAGCAGAGAATTTTTCTCATATTTAACCAATCGTTCTCAAAGTGTTTGTGTTAATGGGATAGTTTCAGAGCCTCAAAAAATCGATTTAGGAGTCCCCCAGGGTAGCGCTTTAGGGCCCTTGCTCTTTATAATGTATATTAACGACATATCCCATGGCGTTAGATATTCTAATGTTGAGCAATATGCTGATGATACGCTTCTTCACTTTGCTAGTGACGATGTTAACATCATTGAGTCCAATCTGTCATCTGATTTAGATAGTGTTACTCAGTGGCTTAGTGCTAATTAGCTAATACTCAACTCTACCAAATCTAAAATAATGCTTGTGGGTACCCATCAAAGGCTTGCCTCTAAGTCGTTCTCCATATCATCTAACGGTCGAGACTTAGAGAGATTAGAAAAGTTTAAATATCAAGGGGTTTTTATGGACCCAACACTTTCTTGAAAGTCCCACTTTAATTACTTGGGAAAGAAGATCTCCTCTAGATTAGGAATGTTGCATAGAGCACGAAAGATCTTGCCTCAGTCATCCTGTATCATTTTGTACAAAGCAATGATACTCCCCCTTTTCGACTATTGCTCAGTTGTGTGGAATAGTTGTGGGGCTATATCTAAAGGGTATCTTGATAAGCTTAATGGGCGTGCGGCGAGTATTATCTTAAATAGGGCTGTGAGTGAAACAGATATTGTTTGTATTCTTGGTTGGCCTAGCCTTCAGTTTCGTAGAGACTATCTTAAATGCATGCTGGTTTTCAAATCTATGAACGGCTCAGCACCTTCCTACCTATTGAGTGATTTTACTCAAGCGAAGAAATATCATACATATAATACCAGGCACAGGGATTTGATTCGTCTTCCTTTGGCCAAAAGCACTAAATATCAAGGCAGTTTTAGATATAATGGTGGGTGCACTTTTAATGGAAACGCTCTCGAATCTCTATCCAAACTTAGGAACCGAATAATCTTCCCGCACAAGACCGATTTTGTTACAATAGAATTTCCAAACGCTTCTTTCTCGTGAACTTTGGTGATTCGATTCAGAAAGAATAGCATCTGAACCACTTAAATAGATAATTATAAAATTTCCTGTCATCAAACTAACATTAAGGCAATCGATGAACGCTTTCAAGAACAGAGGTCTGGAGTCCAAAATGTGAAGGAAACATAAATCACGACAAAAAGTGAGAGATGACGAAAGTTTGGCAAAGAGGCTTACAGTAGAGAGTAGAGAAAAGCGAGCCCTAAGTTTTGAAACTGGCTGAATTAGAAAGATTGAAAATTTAAGCCGACGACAAAGTTATGAAATTCTGGCCGAAAATCCTAGGCACAAATGAACCCCCACTTGTAATTTTCAAGGACTACAAAATTTTCAAAAGACTGCTGCGCTCTTGTTGAATGGTAACAACGGCTGCCCGTTCGAGGCCTGGGGCCTCGTTTTTACACAAAAACATCACAAAAAAGTGTAAAATGTTTATCTCTCTATCTCAAGCGCAATGCAAACTTACAACTTGGTATTTCTACCATACATTTTGACATCATTTGTCTTTCCTCTGATGCATTAAATTCTTCCCGATAGGGAATGTGAACACATCATTCGATTATTAATCTCGGTACAGTTTCGGTTTTTTTTTTCTGAATAGACGTTTGTCTGAATTTCTCCAAAGTGCACTGATTTTGAAACTGAAAAATAAGCACCTAGTTGGCTACAATATCCTAGTTTATAAGTTGTGTAAAAATATCCAATTGTGTTCTTGCCCAAAGTGGTTCACAGATAAATGCTAATGAAGACTTGCAGCATAGGAGTCGAAAGGTCCTAATTAATACACGATTGATTAGCCTATCTCTTTCATGGTAAGACAAACGATTAAAGGTTCATTTATCTTAAAGTATTGTTGTTGTTGTTGTTTTTTTGAATAGTGCAAACTAGTCAATGAAGGATGACGTATGAATGTTACAAGAATATTGACTCAGTTGTTGCGGGAGCAATCTTAGATCGACATATATTTGATTACTAAGTCTGTCTGAGTGATTATCATCGACTTCCAATAAGCTCTGTTGTACAAAAGTATCTCTGTTTTTATCAATCAAATAATGAAAAAATTCAAAAAGTCCACAGCCTCAACGTCTAGAATAAGAACCCACAACTACTTTTGTTGTTGTTATTATCACTGATAGGTGGCGGCGGCGGAGGTTTCTACTCCAGCGGCAGAAGTTCAAAGCAGTTTGGTGGTACCATGGGAACTGGTGGAGAGGGTGGTAAGGGATTCTTACAGGGAGGGGTGGGAGGTAAAGCCATGATGAAGAGTGCTGATGGTGGATTTGGTGGAGGGGCAGGTGGTTATGGATGGTCAGGGGGTGCGGGAGGAGGAGGAGGGTACTCTGGAGGAAGCAGTGGCAGTCATAGCTGGAATTCTTGTGGAGGCGGTGGAGGATCTTATAATGTTGGTAAATATCAACAAAATGACTGTTGCTATCGATCAAATGGTCATGGTCAGGTGATCATAACTTTATTGTAAAGAAATATCATTGATTCACTATCAACCGTTTGCTTGAAAGGTGTACATGGCTGATCCTTGAACAACGTTTGAGTTTTGCTGTCGATCGTTTTTATGCACAATCCCATCAGTCACGATTCTCGATTTGTTTTTCTTCCTCCTAATTGGTGTATCTGTGTGGCGTTTAATTTTGCATTAACTATAGATAATATAATTTAGATTAATATTGCATGCTAACTTTTTCCTTGTTTTTATTTTATCATAATTTCTTTATTGAATTTTGTAATGAGTGTGCGAGGAGGAAACTGAATTTAAACTCTTCTTTGGTTTGAAAGATTAATACTGAATTACATGGTGGATCTGAAATGCTAAAAAAGTAATACTTTTGCATTCTCTTCAGATTTAAAAGGAAGGATATCATTGAGAAAGTTTAATTACTATTTCCAGTTACTCTTTCATTTGTTTTCATACATTTTTATGCATCCCACAGATTTATGTCAAATCAAGTCAATGAATTTCAGTTTTTGCGTGACTTTGACCGTCGCTTTGGCCTTATGACTTGTTAACTGTACTAAATAAACTCTGGATAATAAACTTTGGCTTTAACTGTTCACGCATAGGTGATTTTAACCCTTTAAATCTCAAGATCTTGTTAGTAATTCTCCTTACTGTCTGCCAAATGATTCTCATTATGTTAGCTTGGAGAATTTGATATCAGATCAATTAGTAATCCCACAATTTATATTTGTCTTTATTCTCATAACTTGTCTGCATGATATTGTATGGATATAGTAAGGAGAAATTCTGTCCTGGTCACTCATGTGAGTTAAAGGGTTAATAGAGATTAGATATGACAACAAGCTAGATAATGTTATGGAGCTTGAATATTCATAATGATTAGACTAAGAATCTTGAGGGGAAAAACAGCTCATGTTATTCTACATTACAATTAGCGACAAAGTTGTTGACACATTACGGTTGAAGATCAATTCTGGAATAGTAGACCAGTTTTATTCCTCATAGCATTTCACCCACTCGTCCACAGCACAACATTGCATTTTTTTCTTCTGTCTGTGATGGAAAAACGGCATTTCATTGACTTTAGTGCTGTAAGATTTTGCAATTTTTTTTTATAAAATTGAGTGGGTGACGGGGTGTTGTAGTAAACCCTGTACATTAAAAAGAGTATTTAATAAAACATCCTTAAAAGCGATTACGTGAATGTTATGTGTCAACTAACCTTATTGCCGAATGTAGATCCACTCAGGAGCCAATCTCGTAGTTCTTGATCTATTGTAAATACCATGTTTTCATCGAAATGCCATTGAATCGTGTATTCATCGA